GTTCTTGCCTCAAATTACCAATAACTGGTCCCACTGCTCATCCTTGACTGATTCTGCCTCATTTCTATTCTGACAGTAATTGGAAGGAAGCTCTCTCATCCTTCCTCCACCTTATCCACCAACCCACGGTTCTGCACCTGCACTCTTCAGAGTAGGGGAATGTGCCTTTGCTCCTTCCTTGGGTAATGATCTGTCCTCTCTTCTTTTTTGAAGGACTTTGATTCTAAAGTTGATTTTTTTTTCCTTCTTTGAACCCATTCTTTTCTAGGGATTCCTGAAACCAGACTCCCTGAGGATTTCTTTCTTCTTGCCTCACCAGTTGGGATTCTCTGTATCTTTACTGATTCCTTTTCGTCTGATCTACTTTGCAATAATGCACGGACTTACAGTTAAGTCCTGGGCAATCTATGATTCATCATCTATGTTCTTTTGTTTTTGACTTCCTATTTCTGTTTTTGTTTTCCTCTTGAGACACTAGGAGTTATTTCATTAGAACTGGAGTTAAGAGCAGATCTAGAATAAATGCAAGCTGCCTTGAGAGTCAGAGAATCTCTGATTCTGAAAGTGAGCAGTCACACAGCAGAGGATGGGAAACTGAATTTCAGAAATATTTTCCAAGGGAATTCTAAATAAGGTGCCTGGTTGTATAGGATGATATAGAGAGAGCAGACCAATTCTTAAATTTTCCAACAAGTAGTATATCTTAATTATGTTTGTTTTTCTGTGAAATACTATACTTTCTTGTCATCTTCACATTCTAGATTTTTCTGTGACTCATTTTGTTAGTCCTTTTCTCTTTTCTGTATCTTTTAGTATCTGTGCTATCTTTATCCATTCTATGTAATTATCCCTCTGTGTGTATAATCAGTATTTCACTCTATAATTTCTAAATATCGTTTTCTATCTATCTGTATTTTACTAATCCCCTGGCTTTCTAAGCATTTTTAAATCCTCCTTTTAATGTTTTCTGTTCCTCTCTATAAGCATAACCTTTATCCATTTTCCTGTTCAAGATATCATGCTAAAAACACAAAGATATCACTTAGATTTTCTTTTACATTTTTAATTTCTGAAGTTTATAAATGGGATATATCTTTTTCTCTCAATGCCTTCTACAATACATATTTGTGCATCTCAGAATAATGTTTCTATGAGTCAGTACCTTTAACAGGGAAAAAAACAAGTCCTTCTATACACACAATTTATTCCACTGCACTTGTTAATCTGTTGAGGAATTGAAAGAGATGGTTAA